CCCCATCTCAAGGACACATCTGCGTGAAATCATGTCGATCGAATTTATCATCAATCGAAATTTTCAACTGTATCTTTTCTAATCCATGAATGATTTTAATTCGTCACTTTGCCATGGAGAACAATAACCATAATTTATCTGAACATATGCATCATTCATTTTCTTATAATTGATGGTTAATAATGTCTGGATTCTTCATTCTCAATCCACAACATATACAATGGCAAATACCCCAAAATCTTCATCAAACTGAATTCCGTCAAAAATATAAAGAAATGTTATTAGGAATCTAGTAGTATATAGATTTCTTTCGGTATGTTTTAAATAAAAACACAAACTTGTTTCTTTTTATTAAGAGTGCTTAACAATATTATTAACAATATTGTGCTTAATTAATATCAAATTAATGAATCATTTTATTTATTTATTTTTTTTTTTTGCATAAAATGGACACATGGCAAATACCTTGTTTTTCCTCCAATGTTCCTCATTTGTTCCCTTATTATGATACGAACGGCGGTAGTATTCAGTAGTGCGAGCCTTTTGCGGCGGTTGTAGCCAAATGCTCGCAAACATCACCTCTGCCTCCACCCCAGCCGTCCCAGACTGTTCTTGAAGTGAACAGCTTTATTCGTTTACGGAGCCCCTCTTCATCGCATCCCTGCGAATACCCGATGATGAATATGGAAGGGCTCCCTGACCTTTACTCCGATCTGCATATAGCCTTGCCCCTGGCTGCCGTAAGCCTTGTTACCTGCTACCCCGAGAGACATGCACGAGTGGGGTTTGTTTCCCACGATTCATCACATGTACTTACATGTGATTTACAGAGTGTCCGTTGTAGAAACGAACCATGTATGTTTCCTAAACCTATATACTTAAAGATTATGTCAATTATTATGATGAGGTTGAGCATAATTTTATACCTTAAAAGTTAAAAAAATACATTTCAACTCTGGATTTTAAAAACAAATTCTATGATAGGATAGACATCTTTTGGAAAAATCTATGCCCTTCTTAACGAATTGTAAATTACAATGTGAATAATCATTAAAAAAGGTGAAAAATTCCATTCTATAGCTCAACATTCTTACTATTTTGTTGGGGTAAAAGAAATTACCAGTGGTTAAAATTCTGCAGAAAGTACGAGTGGTTAAAATTCATCATTATTTGCATGTGGAAAAATTATTAGACGAGGTAAATAATTAAAACATATCATGAACATCTAAATTAACATTAAAATGAGGAGGTTCAGCTCAAAGTTACAGGCTTGAAATAAATCCGTCAGAGAATATCATAATGTGAATGTTTGGATAATATGCGGTAGAGTTGTTCACAACTGAATAGAATGTAAAATAAAAAGGTGGTCGTAAAGATGTTATTGAAAAGAGAATTTTTATGGATGCATGGGACCAAAATTTTATTTTGATATAAATTCAATTATTTCTTAAGTCTCAGAGTTAAGATTTCTATTTTAGATTAAAAAATAATTTCAACAAATCAATATTTTGATATTTATGTTCTCTATCAATGCGATATAGTCTCTCCTCAGATTCTCAAAGTGCCAGAGTGGAAACCAGAAAACATTTTTCATTAGACGCTACTGAAAGGTTGGGCTGAACTTATATATTTGTGTGTCCAAAATAATTTGGTAACTACCTCGTTCAACTGAACTGCAATCATTTCTCCTGTGAATAGATATTCGCTCACTCGCACTTCAGATATTCAAAGAACTTCGGAATACAGTGGTGAGCCACTGAGCCAAGAGAGAGAAATACCCGGTGGGAGGTCCCTAGCATCACAGAGAAACCGTTCTGGGCAATGATGTCACTCACACAAACCACCGTTCTTCCATGGATGGTGACTCATGTCAATAAGTCATCTACCTTTTCATAGCAGGTACATCTCCACCAATATATCGATAACAGTAGTACATCTTGTTCATTGTGTCAAACCCATTGACTCCTTGATCTTCTGACAAGAGGCTGATTCAACAGTTATACTACCCATGCTTCAGTGTGGGAGTGTTTTTTTCTTTTGTGAATGTGAAATGTGAGTGTCACATAACTTATTAATAAATGTTTAGGATCGTTGATGCCCTTTGAGCTCTAATTGATTTAAAATACGCAATTTAAGAGTATAACTTGATATATACAATTATTCATTGAACGATCATCACTCAAGTAAAAAGTTAAAAGTTATAAATGTTTTTTGGATAGTATAAGTCATTGATCGAAATATTACTTTACAATGTTACACGCAGTTCTGAGCATAATTATTGTATCTTGATTTATTTGGAAATAATCACTAGTGTAATCGATTAACAGTGTCAGTTGTAGAAATTGCCTTATTTTTTTTAAAGATTTCATTAAAATTCAATGTACCTTAAATCCAATATATTCAATCCCAAGTATAGGTTTTACTGTTCGCTATTTTTGTAATAATCTCGATTGTTAGAAGTACAATGTATAACATCAAATTCTTAGTTATCTACATTGTAGATAACAAATACAAGATCTTTAACCTAACTAACCGTGAATTCTGACAATAGCCATTCAATAGTTAAAAACCTCTGCCATATAAATATTTACAACACGTGGAAGATGGATTTACTTCACCTCATGAAAAAATTTCTGGATATTATGCCAGGGCTCAATGCCCCGAACTTGTTTTAGGTGTATCGTCCCATTTGTTCAATAAATTATTGTCCTCATTCACTTTTGTCTTGGATGTTTTGCTACTTCCGACAGTAAAACTAACATTTTTACTTCATTCTCTACGTTTAAAATATCAAGAATTTTTGTTCACATGGACGTAAATTCATTTTTATGTGCAAGTGAAGAATTTTGCAGATGTTAAGTGTTACTTATATTTTGTAAATACTATTTTAAATTACTAACCTGTCCAGGCACATCCATATTATATTATAAGTATAAACTGTATAATAACGTAAAGTTGTATAACTTGCAGTGGTCGCAAATGATCAGAGCTGATATAAAGTGACCTTAAATAAATAAACAAACAAACGAGTGATGCTGCATAATGGTACACACTTTTTCGCACTAGTTAGTTTTCTAATCTCTTTGTTTTGGGCTAGTTTCCGGTTTTGCCCCACCCTCTTCACAGCTGCTACCTATCAGTGCCTAAAATATATTTTTTCACATTTTCTCATTTTTTTCAGTTTCCTAATAGTAAAATGTCTTTATATTCATTTCGCACATTGAGATATGGTCAACAAACACGTGAGTAGTCTACCCCTTCTTCTCGGACCCTTATTTGGCGAATTGATAAACACGAATACTGTCAAATTAAATTTTCATGCACCCAAATTTAATGTTACAGGTTACTAATCCAGTCTAAACACATCGATGTTGAAAAAACATCGTTGGTTTTAGTCGATATATTTGAAACATCGATGTTTTAATTTGACTGTTTGCTAACATCGATGTTTTGTTATCGAAGTCGCATCCCTACCCCCTATACTCGCATCCCCCAGCCAACTCCACCTCCGCGCCGCGGCCGGCGCAAGCTAATTCGCCAGCCGCCTCCGGGACTCCCACCCCCACCGCCACACCCGCCACGCCCCGCCCCCTCGGCGGCGCCGCGGAAGGCGACGGGACGAGGTGGGACGAGTCCCGCGGACGAGCTAAGTACACGGCCGTGTACCGCTGAATAATGCAGGCGGCCCCCAGGAGTTCGGCAGCGGGTGTGCTTCCTAATGGATAAATTATGTTGTATAGCGGGCGGCTGCGCTCCCCGTGGATTGTTTTATGCGATGATAAATTTAGCGGCGGCGAGCTTCCGGTGCCGGATTCCGCCCTGAAATTAAATTCCTCAACCCCGCGCTTCATAACGCTGCTAAGCGCAGCACGCGCGCAGAGGATCAGTTATTGTATTTTTCATGTTATTACTCGGCTCGAGAAAGAGTCCCGGAATGTTGCGGTGGAGGGTTACTGCGATAACGGAAGAGGTAGTGCCTTGTTCTGGAATTCTTGGTGGGAGTGCTGGGAAGTAAACAGTTTCTGTGCAGCGGCAAAAGTGCGAGCGGCGAGAATATAACAAATGTGTTCACCTGCTAATTTCATTTGCCGTTTGTTAATTACGACACTTTCGAATTCGTTGCTCTAAACAGTGAATTAACAAAGTGGACCTATATTAATCTATACGCGTACTTCCTAAACTTTCATGAGAATACTAGCATCTCTAACAGGGACTTTTCGTAAGCCGAGAGATATACACCTCGGTCTCTCGATACGGTATTTGTTGGGAAAAGAGAAAATCTGTCCTACGTTTCCTCTTATATCCAATGTTACCTCTATCTTTAATTCTACATTTATCCCATCCTTGTTAGAATATATTCAATAGGTCAATGATATATATTACAGTTTCTACCTAATTCAGGAAATAATTATGAATAAATAAATGTAACTTGTACTCATTTTAATTTTATTAACTTAAGTTTTGTTGTATTATTTATTTTGTAATTTTTAACTATACAATATAACTTAACACAATAAATAAATGTTTTTAAAGAACAATTTTCTGAACAAGACAATGATTTCAAACTTTTATATATATTTTTAGCAAAAAATTGACTATCCAAATCAACAAAAAAATCTTATTTTTCTGCTACACGTTTTCATTCATAATCTTAATTCCATTAAAATGAGTACATAATTTGTAAAAAGATATCTTTACTATTATTTAAAGTTTTCTTCAATTCATGTGGGTATTGACAGTCCAGTTTTTTTTTTCGATTCACTACAAACATCTTTTGCCAGTTAAAATTTTAACAAACGTCACTTCTTACTTATAAGGTATTGGTGATGTCATTATTGAAAAATGAAAACTGATGATTATATAATTCACTCAAGAAATTAATAAATTCGCTTATACTTTTATCTCACCCACTGAAGCTCAGTTGTCAATGCTGTGACACAAACTAGAAAATAAACTGTCATGTAAGAAAATGTATAATGTTTATTTAACAATTGTTACAGATACATATCAATATCGCTGTTCCAAACCCATAATCAGCAATCGTACATACTCTAATGCTTATTTATCTGCTATTCATCTGTCAGCTCAACTGTGCTTGCAAATGCGTTACATTGTCACCTTATCGATCACAGTGAGTTTAATAAACTACCTTTATTTTCACCCTGTCAATGTACACGAAGAATAATAAATAAACGAAGACGTCTTACCTTTCAAAGGGACAATGACCAGATCATCAAGACTTATAATGTCTGATGTGTCAGTTTCTTCCGAACTAGCATAATATTTCTCTTACATACGAGCTATAAAAGTACCTTTACAAACCAGAGTAAAAGTAATTTTCAATATGTGTTTTCAATGTATTTTCCGAAGATTATATCTGTCGACTCTTCGATGCAGGGGAAATCATTATGTTATTAATGAACATATAGATAATTGTTTCCGTTAGTACTATTGCATTTCACATTGTAAATACACACATCTTATAAAACTTATTTATGGATTTGAAGAGATCATATTAATTGCGCCACGACTTACTGCAATTATCACATTCAAAACTGAATACTCACTTTATTGAACTCTAGTCTGATAATTGTTAATTAAATCGTGATGTAAATAAAAAATTAGGCATTTGTATTTTCTAGTAGCAATCATCGTTCACTTCTGGTTATGATGTACGTCTGTACAATAAAATGGCTCCCACCTTCACTCAGCTTCTGAGTTAATAAATTTATTTCTTTACAGTTCATTTCTACGTGATCTACAACATGCACTCTTAAGCAGACTACTTTACATATTTTATATAGATTTATAAAAAACTTTGTAAAAAATGTGAAGATCACTCTTTTGGTTCTAAGATCACAATCGTGACTAAAATTGTAAAAAATGACGCAGGTGATTATGACGGGCGTGAGATGCGAAGAGCGTGCTGGATGCGTGATGACAAGATCCTCGCCACTGGGGGATGATCATCGAGAGAGGATCACTCAAGTTACACTCGGACGATTGATTAATTAGTGATTCCGGGCATATAAGCTCAAGTCATTAGTCCCGTAAGTGTAGTGCATGTTTTGTGAAGGTTGGTGGTGGTGGTGGTGGCGGTGATCTTCCTCTGCCGGCGCCAACCACACCTCGACTTACGGCTTTCCCCAGCCAGGTTTCTCCTACCAGAGGAACACAGCCCCAGACGAGACAAGCTCTAAGCTCCCGACTGATCTCATGCTTCGGCATGTGTAATGTAGGGCAGTATTATGTAATGCATATAAGTGAAATTGTGTAAATAAGAGGAGAGGATATGACTAGGAAGGGGAAGGAAAATCACACGCGGTCCTTGTTAGCGTACTGCTCCAGTATTCGCCTGGTGTTGATCAGAGGTATTCTGATTAGAGTATGCATCTCTATGTGCATGGGTGTCTCTAAAATAACTTCCTTGCTGAAGGGACCTGTCATTCTTAGTTCAACGCGTGAGTTCGTCAGCCAGTGTTGTTTGAGACACGTGAAAGTTGTGCTTTATTCCCAAATCCCCAGACGTCGTTTCATTACTTCTAGTTTGAGTTTATCTCATTTTATTCAAGGAATTTATACATAATTTCAAGTAAAAATGTAATTTTGTGATCCTAAGTTAGAAAATTTGAAACGTGTTCGAAACTTTTATTCATTTCGCTATTCATTTTTTACCTGATTTACCTTGATGTATTCAGCAGAATAAAACTATTCCACTTAATAATAAATATATTATTATTATTATTATAATGCCGATCCAAGTAGCCGGGATCGCTAAGGCAGTAGTATCATAGCGGTCTTGGACCGAAGGATCGCGAGTTCGGGCTCGGGTGTGTGTGGCTTGCGTGTGACTTTGCATGTTTGTGATTGTCCGTTTCATCATTATTATCATCAACATCATCATCATTATCATCATTTCCATACCTCATCCCCCAGGGCTAACAACTTTGGGGTGTAAAAATGGACTCAGCATAGAAATGCTGATTCCCCTACTCACATACACACAAACACACAATAAATTCACATCCATACACCCAGAAACAACTATGGGTAGGCCTGTTGCCAACTGCACGTTCGCGTGGTCCGTAAATGGCTAATTCGCGGTCAAAAAAAATTTCGATGACAATTTAGAACAATGAAACGTAAATACAAAAGTAAAATAAAAATTTAAAAAATACGAACAAACAATCCAAATAGAATGCAATATAAGAAATGAAAAGCGAGTTCCGTAAGCTCTCCTGCAGCTGAGTCCCAGCGACGCCTCCACCGCACTCGTCGCGTCGCCGAGAGCCTCCCCACCCCGAGGGCTCGGCGAGCGGAGCGGGGCGTCCTTGGCTGCAACCAGCGGGCGGGCAAGTGACAGCTGCCCACGGCCGCCGCCCCCGCGCCGCCCGCCCATCGCCCATCACCCGTCGCCCATCGGCTCATCAATTGCATTAGAATACAGCGCCGGCCGCTGCCATGCGTCGCACGGAGGCTGCCTCTGCCCGTGACTCACAGCCGGAGTCGCTCCCGGAGAAAAATGATTTGTGCGTTGGGAAACGCTGGGCTCTGAATCCGCACGCGGCGAGCGAAATCACCGCATTTTTACATGCGTTTTGTATGCCGTCGCAACGTTCGTCTTGCGACTCAACAGATGATCCTGAGGCACGTGACTCATAATTTATGTATGAGTTTGTAATTTCCCTTTTACGGATCCGAAGAGCAGCGTTCCGATAATAGCTGTGTGCACACGGATTCCTGCACTGCGGGCGGTTGTATTGTAAAGAGGGTATCCGTTGGGAGATTTCTTAAAGCAGGTGGTTTCAAGAGGATGTGCGTCAACCGTAATTATTAACGAGGAGTCTAAATTGTGATTCATTTCCACCTGCGAATTGTAGGAAACCTACAGGGTCGCTATTTAGTCACAGCGTATTAAACAACTTAATCATGTTACATTGCTCGAATTATTGAAACTGTTTTACTGTAACTTACACTCGATATGGTAGCACTCGGTCATTCCGTACATTTTATTATTTTAATTACGTGCATTGCCATAACACGTGATAGTAGTAGAACACGTGATGATAGTAGAACTAAGGTGGTACAATGATCGCAATCACAAGTTTCCGACTTTGAGATGACACTTATGTCATGTGGAATAGTAACAATAGATTTATGGTAACACCATGATGACAGTAGTGAGTTTCAAACTGAAAGTTGCAACTTACGGGAAGCTTAAGGAATCTTGAGGGATTTTCTCTAAAACTGCAATTTTGTTGATACTCAATTTCACTCTCTGTTACTTTAAGCAATGAATTAAACTCTAATATATTTTTCACTTCGGCTTCTTTCATTAATGCTAAGTAAAACTTACCTCCAGTAATTATAAGGGTCACTAATCATATTTGCTGTAGCCTCGTAGCATAAAGAGCTCACACGTTCCATTCCTAATTTTGCTGGCAAGAAGCGTAATATATAATTCATTTCTAATTCCACTTCATTTTGGTATTTCTTTTTCATCTTGAATTATAGTTAATTATCTTAATAATTAACACGTTCTTTCCAATTATTTTACGACTGATAAAAGGAGTTACGTTTCAAAAATATAAGAATTATCTAATTATAAAAGCATTTACCAGAACTTGGCCAAGAGAGCTATCAACATAATATTACGTATTTTTATACTAATCTGAAAACCATCTTTAAGAAAAAGAATTTCAAAGACAGGATGAAACATGTTCTTTTTCCCTTTCTAATATAAAATAAAGTCTGATGATAATCATCCCTCCACCAACGCAGATAATATCTTCTAAAAGATGTCATAACGTTCCGCCTCTTGTGCACTTCCTCGACCTCTCGCCTCCCTTCGCTTTCCATCCCTTCACCCATCGACACCAACCATCACCGCCTATGGCACGAGGTGGGCTGCGACTCTTCCCACCCATATTCCCGTACTCCGCGGCTGGGCAACGTCAAACGTCAGCGCCTCGTCTTATAATTCATTTCGCAAACATTTTATATGACCTTTGCCTG